ACAATTAAGGGGCTTCCTAGGCGAGACGGTAGACCCTCAATTCCTACTGCCTCCACGCCAAAAGTTGTCACTACCGTACGTACTTCGGAGGGCTCGTATAGGATATTGTGGACGGCATTTGCAGGCCAAGTAAACACACAGATATTTCGAAAGGCATCTGATCACCTTCTGCTTTCTGTCCTTGCCAAAATCTTGAAATTGACCTTGAACTAATTGAAGTTGCATGGCAAAAGCAGAGCACCACCAGCCTCATAAAGCTGACAGTGATAAAGTTCGCGCTCGTGTTGCTCCACATTGTCCACCATCTTTTCTTTGTGCGGGCCTTGGAGATGGCAGCTGCACCAGCTGACATTGGGCGGGGAACGCTGTACGTCTTTGTAGAAGCTGGGAGAGGGGAAGAGCCATTGTGTTTCTCCAATCTGTGCTCGCCGCAGGGTACAATCTCCTCCTTGCGTGAAGCCATAGAGGTAAGAAGGCAACCCAGGAGTGGGAAAGTCAATGCGCCAAATGGAGGCCAATGCTGCCACTGTGGTTGACAATGATATGGCAGTCTCAGCAGGTCTAGAGTGTAAGCTGCATTGGGATGCGTTTGCAGACTGCTTTATTTTGCAGACTGCTCATTTCCTTTAGCAGGATGCCCCTTTGTGGAATGCCCCTTTCATGAATGCGGCTAACATTTTGCGTTGCGTTTGCAACGGGAAACACTGCTGACTTTAGCAAACCTTTAAAAGCGTGTCTTGCTCTCATTATGAACTTTGACTGGGGTCACTTCAGACATGTCCCTTTCGCTGCAGGGACATTCAGTTATCAATGTTAAACTCCTAAGGTACTTGATTCCAATGAAGTGCCGCAATCCGTGCAATGCGCTTTCGTCAAATGCAGAAAGTAGCCGCTCCTTATTTGAATGCCCCTTTATCCAATGCAGAGGCAGAGTCGCGACGCCGGTGTGCTCAAAAGCAAGGAGTGCATTCGGCATCTGAAGCTGGTCTTCCAGAACCACCCCGAGGTGTTGCTGTCCAATGACGATCCGCTGGACATCGTCTTCACGATCCTCAACGAACACTCTGGAAAGGACTGGCGGCAAACCTTTGCGTCTGGGGTGTGGCCCAGAATCACCGCAGTGGTCAAGAAGAAGAAGAAACGAACCCAGGCGGCAAATGTGTCGGGAGCGGAGCACGCAGAAGAGGGTGTGGCAACGCCAGCCAGGGAGGAGGGCGAGACGTCAAGAAAGAGACGCGCAGAAGGGTCTGCAGACCAGGAAGGTGAGTAGATTGGGAGGAATGAAACAGGACGATTCTGTACATTGAGGCTTCCGCTTTCATCTATCTTGCTGTAATGTAAGCTGCAAGAACACCAAGACACCTGAGTCCGAAACCTGGTTCTTGAGTACCGAAACCCTCTGAGGGATTAGTTGGTCAGGCGGCAAATGCTTGAGTTTCTTAAGGGCTTTGAAAGCTCACGAGAAAGGGCGCCCTGGTTGCTGTTGCTTTTTGTAGAGCTTGTCATTTAGGGAGCTGTCAGGATTGGGTTTCTTGGATCAGCAGAATGAAAATGGATCAGCAAATGTCAGCGCAAGCTCCTCAGGATCCTAGTATAAAATAGGTGTCGTTCTGGCACAGCAATCAACTTATGAGAACGCACTGTACCAGGGACGCACTGACAACCTCAATCTGGTTGTCAAACAGTTTCCATCAATCCCTGCAGGTGATCCTCAGAAGACACAGAAGCGTGGGGCTGGCGACACTGCCAGGAGCCGGCGTCCTTCAGTTCCGAGCGCGGCTGCAGATCAGGCCGGTCCCAGTGGTTCTGCTCCAGGCACCTCCTTGGATGAGATGCCCACTGCGCGGCTGGGCAGCAATCCCAGCAGTGAGGAACGGGGAGCCGCCACGGTTCAGCAAATCAAGAGCGAGCGCGGGTCGAAGGAAAGAGGGGCGACCTCTGGGAAGGAAGCAGAGAGTGAAGGGGTCAGCCAGAGGGGGAGGGAGGCGAGGAGTGCGCGCAAAGAGACGACGACAGGGAAGGTGCAAAAGCATGGGGGCTCAGAAGCGAGCGAGGCCACGATGAGGAGAGGCGACCAGATAGGTGGCGTAGATCGGAGGCCAGGGCAGGTAATGGGAGATGAAGGGAGAACTGCCTTTGGCAGAGACGAGCAAAGGAGGGGTGCGGACGAAATCGTTGAACGTGGCCGGGGATCGCGAAGCGGCACTGGACGGGAGAGGGAGCAGATTGGAGGTGCTGAGACACGTGGTCAGAAGGAAGTGCAGAGAATGAAGGCAGAAGAAAGTGCGTTGATTGGCCGCAGGGGATTGCCGGCAAAGGGTGCGGTTGGAAAGGAGCCGGCCTTCCGGAAGGAGGGGCCGGCTACAGGAGGGGCCAGGCAACCGGGGCCTCCTGGTGATAACATAGAGGGGGCGCCGACCGTGCGTAAGAGCAAGCGGCGAGCCCTGACAAACTACCAAATGAGTGACTCGGAGGACGAAGCTGGTCCGAGTCTGGCAGAGCGCGCCTCTGGCGTGAGAGTCAATGCTGTGCTAGGGAAGGCGGGAGGGCCTCGAGCGGTCGGCAGGAGCAGCGGATGCAGCTTGGAGGGTGTGAGTGGGGGTTCCAACGGGCGCGCTGCCTCAGGGGAGCTGTCAAGAGGAAACCGGAGTAAAAGGAACCCTCTCAGTGGTAAGGGGGAACGGGTTGGGGCGACAGTGGAGGCTGGCAGCAAGGAGTCGGCAGGGGGGTCGTGTACGGCGCGCGGCTCTAAGAAGCCTGCCGATGCAAGGCAAGCGAAGCGCTGCAACGCCTGTGAGGATGCGGACAACCCGGAGCTTATGCTGGTCTGTGCCAGAGACGGCTGTCGGACGGCGCAGCACATTTACTGTCATAGCGAGGATCTAGAGGAGGTGCCGAAGGGGGACTGGTTCTGCTCCGTGGGCTGCGAAACGAAGGCGGGAGAGAGAAGGGGCGGACCGTGGGAGGTCGTTGGGCGACCGGTATGCAGCGTGCCAGGCTGTTTGAAAAATGCGTACTATGGGTACAGAGAAGCTGGGCTCATTGTGAGGGAACGATGCGGGGAACACAAACGGTTGGGCATGCAGCAGGCAGGGGGGAACGTGTGCGAAATCCTGGGGTGCCATACACAAGCACATTTCGCAAATCGAGAAGCTGTCCGGAGATGGCGCTGCGCAAAGCATCGGGAGGTAGGCATGGAGGCCACGTTCACATGTGACGTTTCTGGGTGTCCTATCACGCCAACCTGGCGGTCCATAGAGTCAAAAGGGCGGCGTTGCACAGCACACAAGCTGCCTGGGATGACGCCAAACGACTGCTGCAAGACCAACGGTTGCAGCCGACGAGCTACCTTCTACTACTCAGGGGAGGCGCGGTCCGCTTGCCAACACCATGCTCGACCAGGGATGATGTCCAAGAATACAAAGCGAGTCTTGTTGCCTCGAGATTGCTTGTGAGGTGGTTTTAGCAACATACATGAGGAATTCCGTACTCGATTAGAACTGAACGAGAGAATCTTAGGCTAGCAGCTACACCGGGTGAGATAACAGCTTCCTTGGCCACGGTTCAATCGTTGATTGGACATTTGATTCCGAATGTGGATTGATTGTCAAGCTAGGCAGCTCTAAAACTATGTCATGCATCAAGAGTGCTTGGCGTTTGCATGCACTGCGGTAGCAGAATGCATATTCCGATATTGAAATGCAGCTAGTAGATTACAACTAGATATACAAGCATCCGGCATGTTCTATTAGTCACTCGACGTACTCGAACCGCGGGCGAATCTAAACCGAGCAGCTCCGGCTTCAAAAAAATGCAGGTGCTATACATGCTTCAGGCGCTTTGGTGACTTGGATCATTGGTTGAAGTTGATTTCGAGAAAGTTGAAAGCCAGAAAACTTGGGCGCGCCATTCGATGGCAGAGAATTGTGACTCACAGACTGCAGCATGCATGTGAGCAAATTGTTGATCAAACTCACATGCTGCGCCAGGCTGTAGTGACATGCAGTAGTCATGTGACATAGAGTGCAATGATCTTATGCATGTTGTTCGACCACGATGTTCTCTTTTAAAAACGCCATAGCCACATGGGCCATATAGGCTTCCATGGCATACACATGGCCACCCCGGGCCGTCAATGTTTGAATTGCGTCGGAACGCCTAGCTAGCCTACCGTATCTCATGGTACTGACTTACGTAAGTCAGTGTGCTACATGCTACAGTACACTACACTACACATGATCGGATGATCCCGGACGCGAGAACCCAATGCAACAATTTAGCATACATATACGCAATTTATGTGACATATTTCAACCTTCATCCGGATGGAGGTGATGGACGCGCGGGGACAGTTGTGGGATCATGTTAAGCTTTATACCTAAGCTAGCTATACTTAAGCTATACTTATTGAAGTTATACTATGATCGTAGTATAGCCTATAGTATAGCTATATCATAGTATCGATACGGAATCGCCAGCGTTCTGCTTGTGCAGACCGTGCGTCGCGGTCTGTAGGCATTGACATACATGTACTAAATTGCATGTTGCATTCACGCCTACACTTTGCTTGCATGCACGAGTGTGGACTCGATTATGTTGTACTAATTTGAGAAACGGACAATAAATTACTCATATAAACCCTGAGATTGAAGGTGATGCGCCCAAACAATGATCAAATGCGAGACATGCCCGGGCCATGTTATAGGAGAGGCCGGGTCAGTCCGACATTCTTGTATGCACACACCATATTTGATGGTGGCAACTTCAACACTGTGGGCCTTGAATGGGCTCAGAGAGAATATAATATCCTTGAACGACATCCATTTCAAATTGTTTCAACGTCGTACTGCAAAAGGTGGAAGCGCCCATTTTCCCGACGAACTGGCAAATACGGCAGGGCATGCAAGAACCTTTCAAGCAGTGCTTAATGAAGGCTCCACACAGAACATAGACCCCAATAGCCCTGCAAAGTTCACAATAACATGAGGCTTTGCCGAGGCAATTGTTCAACAATGGCGCCGTAGCATGACTGGTTGTCTTCAGCTTCGTCACATACACAATATGAAGGGAAGGCCGTCAGCCTGCACTGTCACGTAGCACTCACAAGTGCCAAAAGAAACGGGCACTTGAAAAGGGGGATATCAAGAAGCTGGCCCGAGGCAAAGAACTCATTCGAGGGTCGTGCTTATGATCTTCACATCCTCAAAAGGCTTGTCATTTTTATCAACTTTTACCTTTTCTATTGCCTGCACAACATCAGCGCCCTTCACGACCCGACCAAAGACAGTATGCTTGTTGTCTAGCCACGGAGTTGCTACCGTCGTGATGAACCTGCGAAAAAAGGCGATAAGAATCACTCCGGATGTTATGAAGACCAAAGACTACCTCCCGTCAAAGGCGTTTCCCTTGACAAAGGCAACAGCTCGATCCAGTGCGCCACAGCTCAGCTTCAGCTCAGCTTGTTCGTTCACGTAGTTGGCTGGACACTTCGACCAGAAAAACCGGGGACCGAATATTCCAAATCTCCAGTAGAAGCTCTGCTTGGTTTTAGCATTTTTGGTCTTGACATCATTCAAATTGCCACCATTTCTCACCATTGCGAGCCGTTGGTGTTGGGCCCCGCATTGGCCATCGAGACGGTGAACGGCCGATCATGCCGCAGCGACTTGTGGAATTCGTCCTCGAACTCCCCGCCCCAGATGGACTGCCCCCCCGTGCCGTCCCCAAGGGGATCCCCCGTCTGCACCATGAAGCCCTTGATGACCCGGTGGAAGATCAGGTTGTCGAAGTAGCCGTTCTTGCAGTGCGTCACGAAGTTCTCGACGGTGCGCGGGCACTCCTCCGGGTACAGCCGCAGGTGGAGGTCGCCGTAGTTGGTGTGCACAGTCTGCCGAGGGAAGGGGGAAGGGTTGTGAGTGGACAGATTTGGGCGCTCGGAGTGACAGCGGGTGCTCTGGCGATACGATCAACTGTGGTGCATGGAAGCGACCTTCCCTACGAAGCGGCTTGAAGTCAGTCCGTCCGCAGAGCCTTTCGCTACCAAGAACTGCCTTTCAAATGACAACCGACCACTGTGTGTCAAGACTTCGATGATGAATCTAAAGAACGAAAAAGAACTAGCGGAAGGAGCTCTAGTGGTTGAAGCGCGAAAGGGTTGACGACGACTCCTTTTCGGCAGGCTATCCGCAACCTGCCAACGCCGGAGCTTCCCAGTCTTTGTATCACTAGTGGCCGCCAGATTTTTAAAGTAAAGAAGTTCGCACGCTCGAAGCTGACCCATCCTTTTCCAAAAACCTTGGAAACGCTCCCGCTTTCTGCTTCAAACGAAGCCTTCAATACCCTCGAGCCTTGGCTTGGCATTCGGGATTGGACGACGTTTCCGGGGAGGGCTCTAGCTTCTCACCGTGCCCTCAGTGAAAGCCCTACATAAAGCAGAAGGCACAACCCGAAAGCCCAAAATACTATCAAAAATCAGTACAAATCTCGCGTCGCTCACCACCCCCGTGGAGAGCTGCCCCGCCGCGGCCCGCCCGCTGTCGGTGAGCGCAAGCAGCTCCTCGGCGGGCGGCTTCTCGTTGAAGACGTCGCGCCCCTTGCTGACGTCATCCGCCTCCTCGGGCTCCCTCTTGGTGAACAGGTACAGCCGGTGCTTCTTGAACGCGCAGCAGAGGAGGGTGACGTCACGGCCCAGCAGGTTCGGGTCGGGCGCGGTGGTAACGGTTCCGTCCGGGGCGGTAATGGTGATGGGCGCGGGGTTCTGCGAGTTGGCGGACAGGTTGGCGCGGTATGCCTTGCTGCCCTTCTTCTCGCCGCCCTGGAAGAGCGCGACGCGCAGGAAGCGCTCCGTGTTCTCGACCTTGCCGATGATGCGCACGCACCGGTTGGTCTGCAGGTTCACCACCTTAATGCTGCGGGGGAATGGGGGGGTGGAGTCGTCAGGACGAGAGTGAAAGCACCGGCTCGAGACTGGAAACATTGGAAGTTGTGCAGGGGGTTCGCAGTTTGTGGACTCTTCCAAAGGAAGGACAACCTTCTTGCAGCGTCTTATAACGTTTTGTTGACCAGCTCGACGCTGGGCGTAGTCCATGACTAGACGTCAAATGCGAAAGTCAACCCGTCTTCCATCCCGAGGGAAAACCGACAGAATGGAGGGGGGAAGGAACAGCACGGGCATCGTTTTGTGCGGAAGGGGTTCAGTTGCAGATTGTCAGAGGATCGACCCCTTGATGCCAGAAGAAGAACCGCTAACCGCCAGACATCAAATTGAGCCGTCGAAGCATGTACACATGCAAACCACATTGTTAGAATCTTTGAGCGAGCGAGAACAGCCGTGACGTTAGAGTCAGCAGGGCGTTGCGAACGACAATCGAGCAACAAATAAGAGCGGAGCCGAAGCTGCACAGGGTCAAAAAGCCCGGCGCTTCTCGCACGCTTGGAATGAGAGAACATAAATCTGGGCGCATCAAAAGGCAGTTTTCCCGTCCAAGAGAGACGAGCGGCGCACTGGCTGCGAATGATACATTGCGGACGTCCTGAAGTCCAAATACGTAAACGGCGTCTGAAATCAGCGTCTAAAGCAGCCGTTGGACTTCCTAAGAATGAACATCAGAAGACCTCGAGGGGCCGTTAGTAGCGGCTCAAGGGCACTTGTTGACGCCAACTGTGCACGACAGCTCAGATTCACCAATCGCAGTCCTCACCCTAAGAGAGTGGGGTAGAGGACAAAGTTGCTGCTCTCGTCGAAGACCGCATTGGGCGGCACCGCTTCGGGGCTGGTTTCAATCTCCTTCTCGATGGCCAGCCGCCGCCCAAAGTCGATCGGGTCCAGCTTGAACAGCTCCGCATCCCCGCGCTGCAGCTCGGCGGCAGCCTGACGGGAAAAGGAAAGGGGATCGCGATTAGCTGCGGTCCCGATGAGCTCTTTGGTCTAGTTACCCCGCCGACAAACTGTTGGAAGGCCCAGAGGACTGACAGCGATCGGGCCTCCAAAAAACTGAATGACGCTCCTGGAGTGCGTTTCGATCGAAGTGAAGTCGAGCTCAGGATCGGCAAATATTGCTGATACCTCTGAATGCGAATTCTCAAACTTGAGCTTTTCAAAGCGATTCGAGCGGGGATGCTTCGACTCCCAAACCCAACGGAAACCCTCTCGATTTGTCTACAATCGGCAGAGACTCTGCCGGACTGACACTGGCCCAACGAACCCAGAGCCTTCCGAAGGCCGGCAGCTCACAGTCTTGCGCACGAGTCGATAATGAGTCACGTGTAAGCAGAGGCAAAGAGCACGTACTCGTCAAACTTCTATCTCGACTGATGTCGCAGAGTGTTTTCGTACCTCTCTGCTTTCGTCGTATGATCGTCGTAGCTTGCCCGTCTCGAACCGGAAGACTCGTATCCGTTTGTCAGGGGAGGTCGTCACGAACTGTCGGCCATCGGGCGAGATCTGCACGCAAAGAGATGACGTCAAGCAATGGAGAACTTGTTCAGACTCGCATCGACCGAGCTAACGTTTGACTGAAGCTTCGACGTCAGAACACAAGCTCCAGATTGTCTTGGGGCTCAGTCCTGGAGTACAAATGGCGGCGCACGAGAACCGGTGAAAGGAAGATCGCCCAGTATGCAGCAGCGCTGGAATTTTACAGTGAGTTCGTTTAGATGGGCAGCGAGTGCAGCACGTTTTCCCGCATTTTTCCAAGCATACAGCAGCTGGGCCAACGTTTAACGAGAATTGCGGTTGTTTGTGTCTCTAAAACTAGGGTCCTAGTATCGGACACGTACTTTCGTTCCTCCCATCCCGTCACGTAAGCCTGCCCAACAAGAAGGTGGCAACGAGTCTCACCTCCAGAGAGGAGGCTGTGGTTTTCGCCTTGGCCAACGCATACAGGTCGGTGTCCGTTTTATACCGGAAGCTGACACTGCAGAGAAGCACATGGAGAGTCAGCACGGCCCCAGAAAGGTTACCGCCGCCGGAGCAACCTCGGGTTTGAACGCAGCACTCTGGACTGAAAGCCTGATCCCTAAAGCTTTGGATTGCTCCGGGGGGTCCCGCAGAAGCGAGCTGTATGTGCGTCTCTTTACAGAGCCCAGGAAGTCCACTTCCGGGTTCGAATCTTGTTTGGACGGTCCAGATCGCTAGTACGGCCGATCTGGGTCTCCAGAGCTGCCTTTTGAATAGAAAGCTAACGGGGACTGGGTTAGCAGCCTGACGCCCAGATCTTTGTTGAGCAAGACAACTATCTGGCAAATCATTTCACACTGGGCTCCTTAGAATGAAAGCGTCAGGTAGGTGCTACTAGGTAGGTGCTAATAGGTAGCTGCTAAACAAAGGGACCAATGATGCTACTTGAAACCTGTGGCCAACAAGATCAAGGAAAACACACGTTTGAAGCTCTGTCTTACATGTCTGTGTTGCCGACCGGAACCTAGCAACCCAGCAATCCAGCAACTCAGCCAAGAAGGCTTCTCTCGCCCCCACAACCTGTGATGGCGAGAGCCTACCTGCTGCTTGGCAGATCGCCCGTGTCTGGCGACCAGTACTCCAGAAGCCCCTTTGTGTCCGCCGAAATCACGACATGGCGGGCCACGTTGTACCGCATCACCTGAACTGGACTACTATGAACCTGCAAAGCCAGAAACGACCTCAGTACGGGTGTTCGAAATTTCGCCTTGGCCTACTTTCTCGTTCTTTTTCCAATTTTTGACAGCTCACCGTTGCAAAACAGTATGCTTCTGCTGTCCCCGCATGCTTACAGTTCAAGAGCCCCTGCCAGCACTTAGATTGACAGGGAGCTCCACAAGAAACAGGAGCTTTGCTTTGCTTTGCTCTTCACGGCCTTTCTCCAACCAAAGTGAACAAACGGAATTTCGGATTCAAAAGCGTCTCCAAACTCGTCTCAAAACTTTCCAACGTATTGGGCCTACCTTCATGCTCTTGATGGGGTCGTTGGACCCCGACCTTGCATCGTAGATGTGCACCTGCGCCAAGTCCGCGTCTGCGACCGCCAGCCTGGCCTGCGCCTCCCCCTTCTTAAACACCCACTCGACAGCGCTAGGGGTGTAGGGTAACCGCAGCATGGCCATCATGTCAAAGCTGACGACGTCAAAGATCTTGGCAGACTTGTCCGTGGAGATGGTCGCCGCGAGCAGGCCGTCCGGGCTGACCTGCAGAAACTCCCACGGTTGAGTCCAGATGTGAGCAATGTTCTTGCGACACCAGGAATCTAAGCACGAGGTTTGAGAACATCGAGCAAGCGTCTGCATTTCGGCTTCGTTGAGTTCAAGTCGGCAAGCGGCGTGCAACTTGCGCCTGACCCAGCATGAGTTGAATGTCGCGGCCACCATGTCCGGAGAGTTTCACCTGATCCAAGCTTCTGCTTTTGACTGTCAGAATGAATCGAGGAGAATGCGGACTCCTGCCCAACTTTCAAGTTCACTTCCCTCGACTGTAACTCCTCGGATCACTGGTCCAAAAGGGTCTTGCCGTCAATGTCAACCGTCAGACTCCTTTTCTTTTGCAAAGAACGTCTGCCAGGATCGCCTGGGAGTCCGCGCTTTTCTCCCACTTGTTGTGTTGTCTAAACCAAATCAACACTCCTGACATGAGCTTTTCAGATGAGTGAACCTTACACGCGGTGGTCTTCCATGCAGTTCAGAGTTGACACCCCAGGAAGTCAACATTTGCAACCATACTTGCACAGTGTCTAAGAGAAATCATTCCCCCAGAAATGAAGGGCAATTGAAGAAGATGCGAGTATCTGGTCATTGACTTACCACCAGGCCAGTGACAGGTCCTAGGTGCGCTCTGAAGTGCTTGGCAAATTCGATTCCCATGGGCTTCTTCTTCCAAAACTTGAGGTGACCTGGGGAAGAGCAGGAAGTTTTGGGCTTGTCAGATGAGTGGAGAGTTTTGCACTTCGACCCCGACATCCAGAAGTTCGCAAAACATCGCATCTGCTCGGTGATCCAACGAACATTAAGTATAAATCATTGTGGACTTGGATTCCGCCTTAATTCGTCGTCTATGATAGTCCCTCCTTCCGTGGGGGCGCACATGTGGCTTCTTGTGAACAAGGACACGGGGTTTGGACTCAGCAAAGCTCACCATCTGCACTTCCGGTGATAAAAAAGTCTGCGGGGGACACCGCAACGACCGTGACGATGTCACGGTGCATGTAACTCTTCTCATACCTGCAAAACAACGGGCGCCTTTAGGATTGAAGCCACCACCACCCAAACAGGCAAACGTACATCTTTGGGAGCGGTAGTTGCCTCTGTCTCCGCTTTCTTCTCCAATTGCTGATCTCATCATCGAAGGTGCCAAGGCCCAATGTATCTGGGGGAGTAGGTCAACGACCTTGAGTTACTTCTACTTACATTTCAGCAGATGGTATAGCGTCCAGGTACACTTTCTCAAATTCCAACTGCTTTTTCCTCTTCTTTGGTTGTGGCAGAGCAGGCCCGACCATTTCTTCCTCCTCCTCGACCTCCTCTCCCTCTTCTTCAATCGCATCCAAAGGCCTCTTCCGAGGGCCGTCATCAGGCTGGCTTTGGTCTTCGGGAGCCCCCATAATTGCTGACCCGCAAATGTATAACACAACTCTGGTCAGTGGATGCCGGCCCAACAAAAGTCTCACGCTCGTACCAGCTGCGCTGCCCGCTCCAACCTATTGCAATTAGTTCTGCACATGTGAAGCAACTTCCACCAAAGGCCAGGGCAATGAAGGAGACAATGAACACTTCTCTTGTTCTCTTCAAACCCGTTCGTATCGGAAAATATCAGGGGTGGTGCTTCCTCCTGACCTTCATAGAAGTGGATCTTCCAAGTGCTTCCTTGCACTTGCTTGAACTGTGAACATTCATGATTCAGCTTTCTCTGGAGCTAACTTAGCCTGGGCTAGCCCAGGATTTTCCAAATTGGCATTGGCATTCCGCTCAAGGGGACGGAAAGGCAGTTCTTTTCGGCGGATTCCGGCTCCCCGGGGCCCAGCTGCTGCGCCCGGGGCCTCTGGCCCCTCTGCGATGGTTTCTTTCGGTATAGGTTTCTTTCGATCGGCCCTGACTCAGACCCAGGGCCAGAGTCTGTGCAAGCTGTGCAGCCGCTTGATCAGCCGCTTGGTTTCGCAGGATCCCTTAGGCTTCTGCACCATTTTGCGCTGCATTAGCTGACCTTTGCAGATTGTGGGAGGAGGATAAGGGCAGGATTTTAAGCTGCAAAGACAGCAGACTCGGGGTTTTTGTGCATCAAGCAAGATGACGAAGGATCTGGAAGAGTCGTTCAAAAAGATGCAGGTGGACGCTGCAACCAAGGACTATATATGCGAACCCCATTTGGGTGAGGAGCTCGGTTTTCTTATGGAGCTCAATCTCGGTCGATAGAAGGATCAGATCCACAGATGCTGCTTCTAAAGGGCTAACTACCCGGAATTGCATTTATGCTGTCTCTGACCTCAGATGACTCGCTTGTGCAGATTATCGGACTATCTCAGGAGTCGCAGGACCTCTAGTCATTTTGGAGAAGGTCAAGGTTGGTGATGCCACAAACATACAAACTGCAAGTTTGGGATCCCTCAGGATTTTGAGCTCTGGTTGTTTGCGAATTGCGCCATGTGGGGGCCAAGCATTTGGCAGGCTGAGATTCTTATGAACATCAGCAGTGCTTCAGCAATTCCACATGCTTTGCCGATAGGTGTATCAGATTTTGCCGATAGGTGTATCAGATTCTAAAGATATCAAGCTAAAGTCCCCAGGGAGAGTCAAGCACCAATTGATGATTTGCAGGGTCCGAAATTCGCTGAGATTGTGAACGTGAGGCTCGGAGATGGAACAATGCGGCGAGGACAAATCCTGGAAGTGGATGGGGAGAAGGCTGTGGTCCAGGTACTGCCTTTGATTCTACAAATTTTGAATTTGTCCTTGATCGTCCAGAAGCACCGGATACAACAGCATTGAATGAAGGCGCACTGTCCTGTTGAATCAGCTCACTAGGCTGCCCTACCTGCACCCTGAAACCTGTCATCCTGCTCTGAGAAGCACCAATCTGATAATTCCAAGGGAGTAAGTTCGCAATCATGTGGTGTACAGACACGAAATTAGAATGTAACAGGTCGCTACTCGACTTAGGTCTGTCCCCTGATGCCGTCAAATTTTTCACAGATCTTTGAGGGAACGGCGGGGATTGACAACAAGAAGACGACAATTGAATTTACTGGCGAGGTGGGGGTTTCGCTCCTTCTTCGCATTTGAAGGGTTGCCGTGTTCCATACTCATCGTTTATTTCAGCCCTTGATTACTAATAATCCGATCTACTTGGAGTTGATCGGAGCCTTACTGTCTGTGCAGAAAACTGCCTGCACATTATCTATGATGTTGGCAGATGTTGTTGATGCATTCTGCACATTGATTGCAACACATTATTAGTTCTTAATATGACTCAGGGAGACGAATCCTGTTAAGGTCTGGTGGCTTGCTGTGCCATCATGTTCTTGCAGGTTTTGAAGACCCCAGTCTCTCAGGACATGCTTGGGCGTATCTTTAATGGCTCAGGGAAGCCTATTGACAACGGGCCCCCAATTCTGGCAGAAGCATACCTAGATATTTCAGGTGAGCTTTCTAGATATTAGCACAGCCAGGAAGGGCCCGTTGATTTGTGCAAGACGAGACCATGTCATGGAAGGTCACTAGCCCATGACAAATTTGCCAATCTATACCAACCCAAAAGACCCCAAAAGAACATGAAGGGTTCCTCCAGTGCTTGATATTCCGCAGCCTATTCACCAACGGAGCCTTTGGAATACTTTTGGACCAGTTGAGGCTCATTTCAATCCTGATTTGTTGGTGAAGGTATGGCCATCAATCCCAGTGAGCGCACGTACCCTGAGGAGATGATCCAGACCGGCATCTCCACCATTGATGTCATGAACTCCATTGCGCGTGGCCAGAAGATCCCCCTCTTCTCCGCTGCCGGTCTGCCCCACAACGAAATTGCCGCACAAATCTGTCGGCAGGCCGGCCTCGTGAAGAAGCTGGAGAAGAAGGATGACCTGCTGCAGGTATGCCGGTGGTTGAGCTGTATTGGAAGACAAGCTGTCTGATCCTGGAAAAGCAGCAGTAATGGTCAGCAGCTTTGTGATGACTGGATTGGGTTTTGGGCACTTTGTTTTGTAACAGACTGGAGAGTACTGGGACCCCTGGGGAAAAACTGCAGGTGTGTGATAGAAGAACTGTCACTTCGCAGGACGACGTTTCGGACGAGTTTGCCATTGTCTTTGCTGCCATGGGTGTCAACATGGAGACGGCCCAGTTCTTCAAGAGGGACTTTGAGGAGAATGGGGCGATGGAGAGGATCACCATGTTCCTGAACCTGGTGAGCCCTACTATTCCTAGCCCAACAAGCTCAAGCAGCAGACGTTCTTTTGTGTCGGCCCCCTTGGTTAGAATAGACTGTATCATTCTTTGAAATGCTCCTAGAGAGGTACGAGCTACCCTCGCTCTTTCAATCTTCAGAAAACCTAGTCAACTTCTCTGATAGGCGCGACTGGTGGGACGCGAAGGACTGATCACAAGAGCAGATGTGTTTCAGAAGGGTCGAGTGGACATATCCTTCAACAACCATCCGGTTTTCGCTTGTGAGTCGACATTGCGTGCTCGCTTGGCTAAACACTCTTTCGTCCTTACGAATGCAGGCTAACGATCCGACTATCGAGCGTATCATCACCCCGCGTATCGCTCTGACAACTGCGGAGTATCTGGCGTATGAATGCGGCAAGCACGTGTTGGTTATCCTGACGGATATGAGCTCTTATGCGGATGCGCTGCGTGAGGTGAGGACTGGCTGCTCTCCACTGTCATTCGCCTGCATTCAGCAAGGTTGTCTAATTTGAGACTGGTAAATTGCTCAAGCAGGCTTTGCTTGCGAAGTCCTTTCTCTAATACTCGCGCTCTGCCTGCCATTCTTTACCGTTTTTCGGCTCCAGCTTGTCCAAAGTCGGACATGTACAAGTTCCACAGGTACTCAGCTTTGCAAGCGGCCTTTCAATTTGATCAAAGTACTCAGTCACCTTTAGAACGTCCAATTTTTAACGGCAAGAAGAAAATGGCGGTGCAGCGATTCTGGGTCGTTCCGAGCCTCGTGAATATGCGGTCTGCTCTTGATGTTTGAGTGCTTGCACCAGTGCTTCAGGAAGAAGATTGATTTAGAAGACAAGTCCAAAGCCGGTCCGGCCAGAGTTGGTTGTTGCGTTTCTGCCTTCGCCGGTCCGGCCAGAGTTAATTGCTGTGTTTGCGCAATCACGCCAGCGCACTAAAGAAGATATATGTTTGCGATCTCAGGTCTCTGCGGCCCGTGAGGAGGTCCCTGGGCGGCGTGGATACCCTGGGTACATGTACACGGATCTCGCCACCATCTACGAGAGGGCGGGCCGCATCGAGGGCCGCAAGGGCTCCATCACGCAGATTCCCATCCTGACCATGCCCAACGACGGTGAGAAGAAGTCTGCGACATTTCTTCTCACCAGGATAGCAGGCTGTTGTTCTGGCGCAGGCGGTGTCATGGGTACTTTGCAATGTGCTTCCTGCTGGTCTCTTGACTCGGAATTATGGCTGAGTCGTGAATCGCAGACTGCCTGTAGAGTAAAGCGAGGCTCGACAAGTAGAGGAGTTGATTCATACCGTAGTGATTCTACTTTTGAGCTGCAATTGGAAGGACGAAGATGCTCGACAAAAGCGCACGTGGCTGGACGGTTGTTCTGAGCGCGGCAGTGCTTGTGCAGACATCACCCATCCCATCCCCGATCTGACGGGCTACATTACGGAGGGCCAGATTTACGTCGACAGGCAGCTCCAGAACAGACAGGTGCGCGCCAGCGCTGCTTCAAGACAAAGATCTTTGCATGCGCTGCATGCAATCTGTCACTATATTCTGTCATGCATCGTGCTTCGTCCGTGAATGTGAAAAGTTTCAGAGAACGCAGGCAGCTTATGGATTGATAATCGTGTGCATGTCTGCAGATCTATCCTCCGATCAACGTGCTCCCTTCTCTGTCCCGGCTCATGAAGGTAAGGCCCCGGGGTTCTCGCCTTTCCTGTGAAAATCAAAGTAGCAGGCCTGGTTCCCGATTGCCAGCCCTAACTTCGACGTGCTGAATGTTCTCACACCCTTCTTTCCTGCCACTCCTTCGTGTTGCTTGCAAGCCTGTCAATTTGAGCAAATGGCAGTCTGCCGCTGTTTTTGCTGCCCATAGTAGTCCGGCCTTATCTTTCAGCAGGAAGAGGCCGTCTTGCTTGGGGCTTGGTCTGGTGACTGAGGATCCGTCTTGACGTGCAGAGTGCCATCGGCGAGGGCATGACAAGGAAGGACCACTCTGACGTCTCCAATCAGGTGAGCGTTGCTTTGGTGTCCAACGCCGGACTGCCAGGAGCTTCGAGACCGCAGGTCCTCAGTGGTTTGCAGAGCGTCGCTATACGTCAGCGAAGCTCTGGGCTGGTGTCTCTCCTTCAAACTTGGTCCAAGAACAACTTCGGACTTGCGGCTCTGGACTGGTCCTTAACGGACAAGGATGTTCAGATTCAATCTGACGAATCGCAGAACCTGAGTCCGCTGCTATTTTGCAAGCATCTCTGACGGCCGATCTCGCTTTGCTGCAGCTGTATGCCAACTACGCCATTGGGCGGGACGTCCAGGCCATGAAGGCTGTGGTGGGAGAGGAGGCACTGTCCTCCGAGGATCTGGTGAGAGCTGCCATCCTCGTCGTTATCTTTACTGTAGAATCTTACAACCTTTTGAATGCCAGCAAGACCTTTACAGACTGCTATCCGCTTTGATAGCTTTATGAAAGCAGACTTTGTCATTACAGACGTAAGAGACAAGTGAGACAAATCAGTGGCGTCGTAGCGGTTTCTGTCTGGGGCTTTCAAGTACGACGAGTTCTTGCCCGGCATCTCGATTACTTGGATCTTCCAGGCAATATGCTCCTGTCACTGATCTCTTGATAGATATTCCGGCTGTCGTGGCGCCTGAACCCCTTTTCTGACCATCTCCCCACGACTGTCCCCCAGCTTTACCTGGAGTTCTTGGACAAGTTCGAGCACAAGTTCGTGGCTCAAGGCCCGTATGACACGCGCGACATCTACCAGTCGCTGGACCTTGCCTGGTCCCTGCTGCGCCTCTTCCCGCGGGAGCTCCTGCGCCGTATTCCTGCCAAAACGCTGGACGCGTTCTACAGCCGCGAGCACACCGAGGTGAGCAAGCGGCCGAGATGAAGTCGAGGAAGCGTCACTAGTAGCACGGATTCTCATCTACTTCATTTGACAATGCACACATCTCTCTTGGGACCAAAAAACATTTCGATTGCAAGGCGGTCTGCATCATTACTCAGCGTCTGCAGAGGGGTCTTGTCCGCGTCTGTCAAGGGGTCTTGTCTGAAGTCGGTAAAAAGTCCGGACTTTTCTTGCCAAGACCTGACTTCGCCTAGAGTACACAGAACTGTTCGAGGTATCGTCAGAAGGGAATTGCAGATGCGTAATCCTGCTTGCCAGTCGCGAGAAGTCAAATGCAGAATCTTCCCCTCCTGGCGATGCTCAAGCCTCGGTAACCTGTCGCCCGGTCTGACTTACGGTTCAGCCCTTCTTGACTCACGAGCGTTCCTCCGGCAGGAAATGGAGAGGGCAAGAATCTGACCTTCACCATTTGCAGGACTGACCACATACGCGCATCTTGTTCATGCAGTAATCGCCAACATCCAGACGCGACCGTCCGGCTTCAAGGGATTGCTTCCATACCCATGTACAGCTTCTGCTGGTATTTGATCTCACTTTATTATTCGTAGTGTTAAGCATTCTTGTCTAGCAAAGACCTTTGTCTTACAACCGCAAATCAACACTTCGGACTTGTTCCTACAATGATTCAGTGACTATACGCCAAGTCTTACGTTTTAATGAAATAAGATCGCCAAGCTTACTCCCGTTGGTCAGGTTGCATCTTGCTCGATGCACCAGGGCTTTGTAACAAGCTCAATCCCCAGCTCTCTATTCAACATCTAAGTATGCATGGACTGTTTTCAAGTAACTGCAGTCTGGCACGGCCTGATTTATCTTCGGAGATGGAGGAGTGTATGCGCTGCACATGAACTTTGAGCTCTTGCTATGGCGGCCGGCCGCGCCTGTATTTACCATGGTTAAGGTTAAGGTTAAGGAATTACCATGGTCAAAGGATGCAATTAACATAGAAAGCCAAAGTGCATATGCTTTTGTCAGACATTAAGGGCATGCACAGATTTGCCTTACTAGGGGCCCAGCTCAACATGCACAGCTGTGCATGTAACATAGGTTAATTGCCTGAAAAGCTAATGCAACACGTTTGCTCATGCAATGCAGTCGAAAGATCAGACATGACATATGTGCACTGTGTGAACTATATCTGTATATAGTCTGGCATGACCGACAGCCCTGACGGGTGTGAGCGCGCACCACATGGTCCATTTGTCACGGTATACTTGCATCTGATCCAACCGGCGCATGCAAGTCGGTCACAAGGGCCCGGCATGTTTGTCAGACCCATTTCACATAATATTTGAACACCATTTCAATGACGCGCCTTCGATTTGTTCAAATCTACACCGTCCGATCACAGTCCATGCACTCATCCTACTTTGATTGGAACCTTATAGTAGATTGTGATGTTCTCTTCTAGCCTGCTATTGATATCGCAGCTCATCGCCGGGCCAGTCAGTGCCGCTTCATGTGGCATACTCATGTGTTGATCTTAGAGTATCACATATCATGCTTGAGCAGTTTCCTGAGCGCGCTAACTTCCACAACAGGCGATGCACCCGCTTTCAGGCACTCACCTACGTAGTCGCGATCGCGTCGATTGCTGAAGTTTGAAAGCTGAAAGCTGAGATGTAATGCCTTCTCTGGTGCAGCTTGGCATCATGACTGGTTCAGAGAGACAGCTGGCGGCGGTAACACTGCAGCCGAACAATATTGTTGACATCAACAATGGCCCTGTCCTGCCATGTGCAATATACTCTGCATATGCAAGAATGTGCCCTGGGACCTGATGGCAGCCAGATCAACTAGATCAGATGTATGCGAAGGCGGCAATGTCGGAAATCACATACGAATGCCAATGCCAATGGCTTTCCCGGGTTTCCGAACGTCAACACAAATCTCAGCTCGTGTTCGATTGCAGTGCACGGGTTCCGCGCAATTTGAACCGTCCATATGAATCTGACCAGTTGATCGACGGTACTGGACCACTGCATCAAGTATGCGCGCGTGAACAACAAGGGTTCTGTACGCGGGTAAGTTGGCGAAAGCTGAAAAGGCTGACTCGATGCACACTGGCAGTATTGGCCTAATCTTACTTCTCGGCCGCCACCAGGCAGCTGGCACGGCACCATCCGAATCGCTTTGGCAACAAGGGCGCTACCTATACTGCTCTGAGAAGCACTGGTAGGGCTACGTTTAAGTGCGGTACTGAGGAGGAAGTACCAGGTAGGACCCACCAGAGCTACCTGTACCTGAGCTCAAGCTGTGTAGCTAGGTACCTCAGACGTTGTAGATAGCTGTGCGTCATTGTATCCTTCACCGGTACAGTGCTCCGGTAGTAATAGGTATACCTACGGTACCTAGTATTGATGCAATCTAGGTATTGTAAAGGACACGACCAGTGCGCCAAGGCTCAGGGGTCAGGGCATGTGCCAACCTGTCTATTCGCAACGAATTGACTGATCAGCAGATTTCAAGATTTCAACCCTCTCAACCCTGACTTCAGCGACCGTAGGGACCGCTTGTCAGTGGCCGTTGACTGCTATTTGGACCAGGATGCCTCAAACCAGCGCTCTTTCAATATGGTCAGCTTGCGGTGCATCTGCTGCTCATTGGAGAATATCCATGTTCCAATCCTCTCAATCAGAGCTTTGCAGCAGGTGGACAGAGGGGCAAGGACCTTTATTCCGGATCTTCGCAAAATCTGTCATCATTCCAAGAAGCATCCTTCCACAAGAAAGTGCAAGCGCTGCGCTAGACTGCCTTTGCTCTTCAACGCCCCTGCGCTCCGCCTTCTGCGCCTCATCAGCACGTTAAAATGGGTTGCGGTGCGTCCGCCGCTCGCGTGAGCGCAAACTGCCCCAAGATCAGGGCCATCAAACTGACCGAGGTACGTCCCAGGGGGATTTGATAGCCTCCAATAGACAGCGCACGACAAGCGGATTGCTTTAATGTTGGAGGAGCAGGTTGCAATGTGCCGTGGGCCTGAATGCATAACAGTACCCCCAGGCAGTGCGCCTATCCGCATTGCAGAAGAAGAAAGCTTCTGCGTCAGGAAGAAGACGGATGCAATGGGAGTGGTAATCGCAAGGGTTTTTACGGCCTGCATGTTACCGGGACAGTGTCCAACTATTGGTGATCACAGTCTTTGAGTGTCAAAAAGGCTCTTGCTCCAGTCCCTCTTCTTATGCAAGAAGCGGGAGTTGAATTGTGGATTGATAGTTTCAGGGCGCGGACAAACACTACCTTTCTTGGAAAGGGGCGTAGTTTACCTGTCTTTCTGGTTTTGTTTGTAAGCGCAGTGCAATGGAAGACAGTCGCGGTGGTAAAATCTCTTCAAAGAAGCAGCCTTGCTCAATGCCTGATGAATGGGTTTTCCTGGTTCTCAATAGGTCAAGATCCCCGAGTTTGATGAGGTCTTCAACGACTGCAAGAAGCCCCTCAACACTATCGTCAAACTGAACAACGACTTGTACGCCTATCTGGATGGCGTCAAGATCCGGGCCTTCTGCCTGATGGGCCAGTCCAAGATTACCCTCATCCAAGAGGCAAGTGCCCTTCAAGAAATGCCACATGAAACTATAATTTCATGCAAAAGCTTCTGAGCGAGGCAAGCCGGACAAGCCGCGCTTGTTCAGATACCCGCTGTCATTCTATGTTTTGCCAAGAATCCAATCTCTCCTTTCTCCGATAAAAGAAGCCTTCTAGCACTGTGCAAAATCGTACTTACGGTTGACTGCTTCAATGTTTGATGGGAAGAAGTTTGAGTCTGCAGTACCGCAAACAGATCCCTCGGCTCCGTTCTGACTGAAAATCTTGTCCGCATGCAGGAGAACAACGTGACTTGCGATCTCCAGAAGCTGAAGGATGACGACTTCGTGTCTTGCCTTGCTGACGAGTTGGCCAAGCCCACCACGGGACTTAAGTAAGCAAAGCAGGCTGATTCCTTGGATTCGATTGGAGCCTTCGATGGCGATTGTAGCGCACGCGTCTCATCTTACTTTTCAGACTATACTGCAGCACATTCTGAAAGCAAAAAGTACCCAGAAACAATAGGGACCAGAATCAAGCACGCAGCATTGTCTGAAGGAGGCAGTAGGCCAAGTGTTCTGGCATCGCTTTGGGAGTGCATTCATTTGCCCGCTCAAAGGCGTCGTTTCCAGTCCGAACCAGTGTTTTGCCCGCTCCCTGACCAAACACAATTTGGTCCAGCCTTCATTCAATCTTTGTCGTTTTTTCTTGAACCCGTCCCATACGGTCTGCACTTTCGCACCTTCGTTTGCCGGGCCTTTCCTGGATACTCTGTGCTCACACCTCCTTGCCCGAGGCCGTTGTGCTTTACCCCCAAGTCCCGCTCTAATTGTGTCTTTCTCCGCCAGGTTGAAGGCTGCTTGGGACAAGATGACTGCGTTGGCGGCGCCCCTGGCCGCGGCCGCGGAGGCCGCCGGGCAGACGTTCTCGATCGCGGCGGACGACACGATCCACTTCGAGGAGCCCGCAGAGGAGCCCACCGAAGAGGACGCCAAGGCCAAGCACACCGCCTTCTGCGACGCCGGTGAGCGGTCCGGGCGCCACGTGGCAACCCGTTGCTGACGTCAGCACGTGCAGGGCCTGAATACGAAATCCGCACTCTGGAAAGATAAAACTTGCAGGCTTTCATTCGATCACGCCTCCCTGTTAGTTCTGCTTCTCGAAGAGAGAGCCTCGTCGCGGCCAATTACATCAGCGTCAGCATTCCCAACACCATCTTCGATCGTCTCCCCACCGACGCAATATCGCTGACGTCGTCCTCGCGTGCGCGCAGTGGACAAGTTCAACCTGCAAGTGTACAACGTGCGCGCGGTGCTGGCGGCCATCAACGGCCCGCTGAGCCTGAGCGGCGCCATCTGCGAGCTGAAGAAGCACCTGATGGCCAAGGGCCACGGCTTCGACGTCGACTTCTCCACCTTCGAGATCAAGATGCCCTCCGTGCACGACCTGCCCAAGCCGCTCGCGTGCATCGTCGAAGTGGTGAGAGCGCGCGCGCGAGCGGTTTACAGTTTGTGAACGTCAGAGATTAAAGGCGTGTCATGCTCTGCTTTGAGGGCGCGTTACGCATCTGCTTCTGGACTCATCAACAGGCCTCAATAGGAACACTTTGAGACGGCACGCGACCAACCCCTCGTTCGGGCCTACAGTAGAAAGCATTGAAACCGCACTTGCCCGCGTGCGTCAGCAGGTTGAAAAACAGACGCATATTTTCGTTCTCGTTCTCGTTCTTGTTCCCAAACCAGCCTCGATCTGGCCATGTGTCGCACCCGCTCTAGGTGCCTTGCTGATGCGAAAGCAGGTTGACCTTTACGCCAAAGTTCCCTTCCTGTTTCAGCTTCTCAGCCTTGCTTTCTGGTTCGTTCCCAGATTGAGAAGCTGATTGACCGGCTGAAGCACATCGGCGAGGTGGGCGAGAAGATCAAGGAGGAGCTGGAGGAGCTGGTGAAGAAGGCGGAGGAGTTCCCCGAGAAGGCCAAGGACGCGCTCTCCAACTCCGAGATGAACCCCTTCGAGATCCTCAAGGCCGTGCACGCCGTCGCCATGAACGTCAAGGTGCGCGCGCGTTTTGGGGCGTAAAGTCTTTATCAGAGTTTGTTTGTTTTAAGGCCGTTTATGCCCGGCGCAATGAGGCGCCAATGCAAGCACCAGACAATCAAGGCAAGTAGCGGCGAGCACTGACGTCGGTTCTCAATACTTTGATTTTGTGGGGTTCGCTGCCACGCAAAACAGGTAGAACGAAGACAGGACCGTACGCTCCGCGCGCTGCGACGATGTTTTGCGTTTCTTGCCGCCTTTGCTGGCGTTGCTCCTAGCCGAAGCACCTTTCTCCAAAAGCCTCAATGAAGCCCCGCTCAGGGGACAGAGTGCTGCTCCTTCCGCCTCGCCCTGCTTCCGTTTGAATGAGCTCTGCCGGAAAGATTCCCGCTTCTCACTCCGCTCGTCCCCTTTGCAGAACGTGGCGGGCGCGCCGTTCATCCTGACCGGCGTTCTGGGCACCGTCAAGACGATCCCCACCGAGATCATCCAGGGCATCAAGGACGCGGTCGCCGGAAAGCCGTCCGTCGCCACCCCGGCCTCGCCCAAGTCCCCCGCCGCCAAGGCCGCATAACCGGGTTGTTAACCGAGGGGTTAGGGGCGACCACTGTATGATATACCGGACGGACACCATATACAGAAAAGCTGGACTGTAGGACCTGAGAGGGAGATCGGGGTATGGGCAGTAGTGCTGAACTCTGATTCTTAACGCCCACCTGAACTTTTCTGACTCCTTGCTATCAGAAATTAAAGCAGATAAGAAACGATTTGAGGCGCGCACTGTCAAAAGAGAGGCTGTACATGTGAGGGAGATGACGTGGCGTCAAGCGCTGCGGCAGCGGCGCATAGCGAGACTAGGGCAGAGTGCATAAGAAACAAGATACGCCTTTACATTCGGCCTGTCCTATGCCTCTTTCCTTAGTACAAGCGACAGTCAAATGAACGATTGAGCAAACCGCCAGATGATGCATCTCTGTTTTTGGGTAATACTTGCGTTCATGATTTGGTCGCGTTGTCTCTTTTGTCAGTAGTATTCCTTGAAGTGCACGCCGGGCATTGACGTCGTCTCGAGAATGTTTCAACGGAGGCCCACTTTGGGACAGTAGACTTCGTAGCTCCAACGGAGACCCACTTTGGGACAGTAGACTTCGTAGCTCCAATAAGGTCGAACGTATCATCTCGAAGTAAGAAGTGAAAGAAAGTACAAGCCTATCCGAGGCCTACGCTGAAGACTTCTGAAAGTTTTGGGAGGAATTTGATCACGAAATTAAGTCCGCCAGACCTCATTTCGTAAGGACAAATCGCGGCTCGGCTCTTCGTGACCTTACTTTGTAGTGTCTTCTACTGAGCAAGCTGATACCCTGCCAGAGAACAGCTTAGGTTCGCGGAATCATCATGTCAGGATTGACGCGGCAGTTGCGGGTGCGACACATAATTCACGAGGCGCGGGATCCGAGATTGCGCATGATCGTCGATAGCCGCAGCGCATTTGTTTTGACAAGATTGGGTGATACACTCCAGTCCACTCGGAAGTATGTCGCCGTTCAGCCGCGGCCCAGTACGATTAGTGCGTCGCTTTTGCAACTTGTGGCGCTTTACGCCAACATTGGTCTGCATACTCTCTCCTCTCCGAACGTATCTTTCCTTCCGATAGGAAGCATGTCCTGCCGTCAGAACGTTCTCCAAATAGTCACTGTATGGCCTAACGCGGAGCGTGGCCATCTCGAGAGCCCAGAATGCCGCGCATGTTGATCTGGTGCTTTGGCAGCGAGTCCCTGAGTCTTATACTTTAACACAATCGACCGCGTGCAAACAGTGAGATCAGTGCTGCGGCAACAGATAGCACGAGCTCTCAGCAATCATAATCAGAAACCTGCGACTCAACCTTGCCGGGTCCATATTTGTTAGGATTGACGGTCTAACAACATCTATGCACCAGCCCCGCACCAGCCGTGAATTAAGCTGTCCAGACTCCAGGGAGCATCTCGCAGAGACTAGCGCGTCGATCCCCCGTTGAGGACCGTTATCGGACTGCAAGCGAAGGCCTATCCGTCTAGCTCAATACAAACTTTTGAAGCTTTTACAAGGTCAAGCCAATATAAGAATACATTCGCTATAGCTGCACAAGGCCATCTGCACTATGGTGCAGTTGTCTCGCTTGCTTGACTCGCTTGCTTGTCCCGATAAGAGCCTTCAAATAATACTAAGTACAACGCCTGGTCTGTCGTCGGAAGCGGAAACAAGAATCAAAGAATCAGCGAGACCGCCCTCCGGCGGGCTAGCCCGTGGAGCACGGCGGCCGTGTGCTCCACGACCGTCAATCTGCTCTATCTGGATTTGACGGCTCTGGGCAGCCGTAGCTGCCGAGGCACCGGCTGTATACGTGACCTTGCATGTGGCGAATTCACCCTGCGCAGCGTCCATTTTCCAGACGGTTGCGGAAGTATGGTCGCCGGAAAGATGGCCCGGATGCCATCTCCTTGTGTTGAGAAGGTTGTCAATGTCAACGTACCGGTACTTAATTTCTCAGGTCTAGGACTCGGAGCACAGGTGACAGGGCGCTCACAAGCCAATTGGGGTTGTGCCTGACTGGAGAACGACAACACGCACCACCAACGCACCACCAATCAGCAGATAGCCTGTTAGGTACCGAGGGCCTTGGTGATCCATGCATCATTGGCCGCCAAGCAAGTGATCAAGCGGGCTCTAGAGATAGCTTCTTGAAGGCTGAGCAAGGAGCACTTGGAAGTAGCGTGTTTGGATTCCAGAGCGGTGGGGCCGCACGCTAAGAGCAGCACAGACCAGAAGCGCGCATCTGGGACGTGGCAATGACAAACGCCCCAGACAGATATGAGCGCTTTGTACTGCCGGAGGGCGTCTCAAAGTAAGGCCACAGTCAGCAATCGCGGGTGCACTTTGGCCTTCCGCTGCAATGCTGCGGCGAAAGACAGAAAATGATCTTGCAAGCGAAGACTAAAGAGAAGACATTCAATGGTCCCCAGCCCAGAGAATCAGACTCCAAGATAATCAAGCACAGTCTTTGTTTGAGCTGCACATCTGCTTGAGGACTTGTTATTATTGGAGTCAATGCACTGTGAGATTGAGCTTTTCAGTGTTGCGATGTAGTGGTGCAACTTGCAACCATTTTCAGGACTCTTCAGGCAGTACGACCACAGGCGTTACATGGGCGAAGTCTCTTTCAACGCTAGCACAATATGCAGTCTATTGAGTCATCTGTACGATCAATTATGTGTTTCAATCGCTGCAGAGTGACGAGGATCAAAGACACGCGTATCACCAATGCAGCAACTTTTGAAGTTCAGCGGGAAGACCACACACTCGGCAACTTGATAAGAATGTAAGTCATTCGTCCCCCGGACCCTCCCCAGTTTTGAGAGTCTCACCACAGTCGGCTGCGGGCCACAGTTCCTGGAATCTGCTTGATTGGCCCGAGCATCTGCGGTCCTGGAAGTTTGTCTCAAGTCTTTGACATGTCAGTAGGAGCTTGGGGGAGTTAATTGGTTGCTGCTGTCACTCTTGGTGAGCTGTCGCTTCTAAGATGGAAGTTGAGCCGATGGCAAGTTTCGGCCTCTGCTTCTGATCAGCACATCAGCTTCCCGGGTCCTCTTGCCGTTCGCATGAAGATGAGACAGGGATGCTTCTAGACTAGATTGAACGAGGAACGCTGAATGCAAAAGGAGATCCTTTCTTTGCAGGCAATTACACAGAGATCCAGAGGTGCTGTTTGCTGGTTACAAAGCGCCTCATCCGCTTGAGTACAAGATCAATTTCAAGGTCAGTCAACATGTTCCACGACCCCCTCTCTAGCTCAAACCGTTAGTGCTCATCAGCGGGGCACAAAGTTTTCCCCAAGAGCAGTGGTGGTTGCTGATGTCCATGTGTGATTGGGGTTTATCTTAGATGGTCAAGCCTTTACAATACACGCACGCATGACATATTCAGTCTCTACTACTCAATTCACGCCTACATTGCAAAGGGTTGAAGTATGCGGATGGGAGGCAGTCAAAGCATGCCGGGTCTTGTCAATCCCAGCTGCAGGTGATTGTAGTTGCAATCAACCGAGTACGGCTCTAGTCAAACTGACCGTTAACTGCAGCCGCAAAAGAGAGTCATTATTCTGGTGCACCCGAGTTGTTGCATGGCCAGACACTTCTGTGCGGGTGGCAAGTGTTTCTAAGGAGCCTGAGATGGTTTACTTTTGTCCTCAGGTGCAAGCAAGAGACACCACTAACCCTGAGACTGTCTTCCGACGAGCCATCGATGCGGTGGATACGGAAATAGCAGACCTGCGGAAAGCATTTACTGTGAGCTTCCAACTCCCATCCCCTTCGAATTTAGATCTCGGGCAGAAGTATAAGCTGAATGCTGCATAGAATTATCTTTAAGCTTCTCGTTCCAGAGTTTCCTGCCAAATCCTGCGGTTTCTATGTCTGAGTGTTGGTCGCTCTGGCATCTGTCGCCCTTCGCCTGCAATCTCGAGTAGGTCGAGGATTGGTCGCTTTATGGGGCCCGTGAAGAACTTCTAAAGAACAGGGTGTGCACTCTAGAAAGCTCCCTTGTAAGAAATTAAAGAAGGGCCTCCACATCGGCAATACACCAAAGGCCGTTCACCTTCCAAGTGGACATGTCTGACGCGGAGTTTATTTTGACTTCGACTCTCCCCATTGTGGTGTAATTGTTCCTGTGCAATTCTGCCTTAAGTGCATTTAGCTTCTCTGACTGATGCTTCGTACATTTACAGGAGGAACTCGCTCGCCCTAGAGATCAGGGCAACTTCTACTAAGGCGCCAGCTCTGCACCAGCTATGAGCTTCCAATGGGCAGACACGCTTCTTCTCGTAGCTGCGGGAATAAGCGTCTCTGCTTGACCAGAGGTTTCAACTCGAGATCAAAACTATCTGACAAAATTTTATAATTCCTCGGTCAGATTTTTAAGTGGGCAACGAGTCCTTGGTAGTCGCGTGTGTCCTTTTGATGGCGCAAGGAGTCCGCTGGTTCTTGCAAGGGCCTTCAACGATTGAGTGCGACGCTTTTCCGATCGACCATATCTGCACATCGGCCAGACAACTGTACATCAGCCAGACGCTCAGGCTAGAAACGTTGAGAGTCTCGTATGGTGAGGCGCATTTGCGCTGCCCGGCCACAGCACGTAGATGTACACCCGCATGGTGTCATCGTCGTCTGGCACGACGTATTCGTCAGATATTTGCCCGTTCCCTGCTGTTGCCTGCCGGAGCCCTGCAATTTACGTCCCTCTAAAGCACGGGGCGGCCGGATCTGATTTTGGTCTGTCGCCGCGCGACCAGTATATCCGCCAGAAGATGGTAGTGACATGCCGGGCCCCATACAAGTCGGATTGATACCAATTGTCCATTGCACTGAACAATGACTTGATTGAGTAATGTAGGAGCTGGACATGCTGGGTTCGGTTCCACGATACCGATGATCTGCGCACATGCAGCTGTGTTATTACATGCCGTTCAAGGTTTTAGTGGCACTTCGGAACTTACGCCCCAGGCCCTCAACTTGCAAGGTAACATACAAGCCATTCATGTGCATATCGCATGCCTAGCGCTAGAAGAATCGCCTCTATTAGCTAGCCGATACTTCCTAAAGCGTATATATTCCTTCGCGATCATGCAGGGCCGGCACACTGACGCACCTTGCCCGTACCACACCAACTCAATAGCGCACATGCGCTGTCTACAGGAAGCCCGACTGATCCACGTAAACGCGCAAAGCGCAACCGCTGGGCAGCAGCCGCCCACTAAGGCAGCAAATGTTTGCGACGCGTACACATTCCTCGATCCACGCGTGCCGCCCGTAAATGCTGACGCCAAACTACTTAGATTCATAGATTGATTGAAGCTCTTGCGCAAGAGCTTGTGCACATCCTCCAATTGCGAATCTCCGATCACGGGATTAAGATTGATCCTCGCAAGACATGCACATGTATTCAAACACTCCGGCTCGCCTATGCAGAGATTGTACCATCTATAGGCATACCACAACTATCGATCCTGCAGTACTTAACCGGCCGTCGCATAGCAATTCGCCTATATACGGTCATCGGCCTGTTCAGCTAGTCTGACGAGACAAAACTCGGTCAATCGTTCGAGGGCGCCGTCGTGACTGAGCCTAATAGGTAGATTGTCTGCGACCCCAGAAGCCTCCTGCAACGCTACTTGCGCCGGCGTGTTTTGAACCTGATGAGTCACGAGCCGGCTCAGAATGACTGTAGAAAGGAGGATTTTCATCGCAAGGACATTGATCAAAGTTGCTGCTCGAGAGTACTCGACGTGCCCCGATGTCCTGGTCCAGAGGACTCTAATCAATCTCGCTTAGCACTCAGCTGGTGTCTGCGGTGTTTCCGCCTCTTGACGCGCGCGCGCGCGCTTGGCGGCTTCCCTCAAGATGCCGGAAACCCCGCTAGCAATCATGGCGGCGACGTCTGTTACCGTGTCTTCCCGAAGCTGGTCGCCCGCCACGTCAGCAGTCGCCCAGGCTTTTAATGACGGCGCCGCCGCGCCCCCAACGTCATCATGCGAATGCGCCGAAGACTCTCGGCCCTTACTGTCTTTGGGAAACTTGTCGGCGGGACGTTTCTGTTCGATGAAGATACAAAAGTTACAAGGGCAAACATCTCTGCACTGTGTGCTGAGACGGAAGGTAACTACATTTGAGGGTCCGGTCAACACGGGTAAACGAGCAAAGGTCAAATGCTGCATGATTACGCCGATGAAAACTTGCAGGCGGACAGTCTTCCATAACCAGCGTGTGCTCAAGTCGGGAACAGCTTTCCGTTTACTCAAGTGTATCGTGAAGAGGCTGTTGAGCATGGCATCTCACCTTCCGCTTGCCGTAGGATATATTGGGGCAGTATCTGCCGAGGTGGGTGATGACGCCACGTGGCGTTTGGAACTTGGCCCCGCACTTATCGCACTGCGTGGCACTGCCAGCTCCAGGGCGCACGCGCGCACCGCCAGAAGAGCGCGCGCTCTCCGCGGCCGCCGCGCCGTTCTGTAGAACGCGAGCAAGGGAGATACGTACGATCGTCAATGAGACGCGCTGGCAACGAATGACACGTATCTGGCCGGCCCTTAACGTCCAAGGTTTCAGACAACATCATTGTAAACAACAATGGAAACACTTCAAAGAAACGGCCGTTTGCTTGTCTGATTATCTTTGAAGGATTCGGTGTAAAAAGGAAGAACTCCGCGAACAAGGAACGAAACTGCAAGGTCACACAAGCTGCGCTGCAGGTCAATTGCTCATGCATAGAAGCATCACATCTAGATCCACTCTGTATAACTCCGTTGCTTTCTTAATAAGGTTGGCAAATTTGTTCTAGCCACGGCCTTTTTCCGTATACGTTCCCGGTCTACACCTCAAGTGTTTCTTCTCAGTGTAAAGCAGGGTCTTTTGACAAGAAAGACACATCGGCCTGCTCTCAGCCAACGCACTTCTGACTTCGTTCTCACCTCGGTCCCACTGACCGGCTCTTCTTGATCGCCGGAGCGCGCCGCCTCCAACAGAGACCGCCAATCGGCTGGCGGTGCATACTCCCCGTCCGCCAATACGCGTCCGCAGGGAGTCCGCCGAACAGCGTCCGAGGCCGTCCGATTTGCCCTCTGCCAACGCGTGCAAGGAAATCGGGGCGTGTCAGTGACGACTTTGCTGCAAGAACCGGACGGCTTCATTGAGAGCCATGAGTTAATACTTTGCACGGAGGACGTCGTCGCCGAAACGCTCTTTCTATGCTCATTAAATCGAAACGGCGTAAGAGGAGCTTGTCCACTTCGAGCTGCTGGGCTGAGGAAAGGAGGTCACAAGACAAGGCCGATGCATTTTGTTGATACGAGATTATTCGTTTCAGCATGTGACGGGCGCAGGTTGGAGGTTTCAAAAGTACAGAGGATTTAATCTGTTGGAAAGCTACGAGAAAAGAAAAACCCGTCAAGAGTTTCTGTCGATTGTAACATTGGAAACAGCACGAGAAAAAGAAAGACCCGCCAAGAGACTCTGTAGATTATTTTGATTCTTTAAACCCGCAACTCCCAATTTGCGCACGCAAGCTGTGAAGGAAAGACCTGTAAAGCAACAAAGCTGAGCTTTCCTGCTTAAGTCAAAAGGCGTTTCACCAAACTATCCACATTGAAGGGCAGTAATTTGAAGCTCATCAGGCTGATCCGCAGAGAAGCAAAGACTTCCAGGAGACATGTCAGTCAAGGATTGAGAATCATGAATTGCAAGGACCCACCAGCCAGATCTGCCTCTCCCGCTCGAAGTTGACCATCATGAGGGCCAGGATCTTGGCCAAAGCAGACGAAGAGCGAACCTCCCTGCGAGTGAATCAAAGGCAATGAAGACGGTATCGTTCTTCGAGATCTCAGTATGTTTCAAGAAGGGGCACAGAGTAGAGTAGGACCGCAGCCTGAGAAATTACCCCCTAAGCGAAGAATGAGAGACCTCGAAAGAGAGAGATTACTGTTCTGCGTGTCCCTCAAGCACTCGAAGTTCTTCGTGGATGATCCAGGTTCTGGATTCTGGATCATCCACGTAAAAGTTCATGTCTTGAGTACTTCACACTGTGACAGTTTCTAGAGAGGGCCAGTCTACGTTATAAGAATCGGTCATCAGCAGATGAGCCATGGCAGCTGTTTTGACTCACTCGAGTGAGTCAAGTTCCTTCGCCGCGTCGAAGTCCCGCTTGAAGTGCTCGTGCATGCTGCCCCACACCTGCTTGTCTATCGAGAATGTCGAGCTCTCAGCATCATACAGAAAGCCTTTGAACTCATCCCCCTCAGTCTTAGGCGCCCACTTGGCAAGAAAAGGGTTTACCACCGCCATAAAGACAAGAGCGGGCCTCTTTGCGTTGCATTCAATAGCTGCTTGAAACACGTTATACCAGGCAGAGAGCCCCACGCAAAACTCGTCGATCTCGGGCCAGGTGCCTTGGTGTTCCTTCTGCCCAAAGTCCTTTCGCTTCACCAGGAGTACGCACGCCCGGTGATGGGACGCCTGGGATAGAATCGAATCGTCCCTTTCCATCTTTGCTAGTGACCCGCTTCAAAAAGCTGCATACGAGAGAAAGCAGAAGACGTCCCTCCGGATGCGAGTTTTTAGCGTCTCATGTTGCGAAGGTGCACTGGACCCTCGTTCTGGTAATTATGAGACCGCTGTTTTCGTCGTGTTGTGGCCAGCAATCTCTCTTCGCTTTGATGAAACAGTATATTAGCAGACTGAGCGTGAAGGTACTGACGAAGTTGTCGCCTGTACTGCTAAGCAAAATTCGAGTATGACCAGGCTGCCTCGAATGCGCAGAGGCTTAGTCCTCGTCGTTCGACGATTTTCTCCAATGATCTGCATGGCGAGGCTTTCCGTACGATTTTGCGGATTCTCCCGAGAGGAAGCCCAGCTAGCATGGATTGATGTTGTGAAGATGCATGGAAGGGCACCTCAATTGGGCAGGCAGCCAGAATTACTCTCTCGCAAGGCTGGGGGCCTTCTTCCCGTAGAGTGGCGTTCTTTTGTAGAGGAGATACTTCAGCGCAGGCAAGTCACTGTGTAGGAATTAGAGTGGAAGCGAAGGTCCGCTGAAAATGAGGTCTTACCCGCTGCACAACCAGCTTGCATTCAGTCATTTCGAAGCAGGGAAGCTGACCGGCTGGGCGCGGCGCTGCATTTCCGCGAGACCTCAGGGATCGATTTTGCTCGGGTGCGCACGGAATACGGTTCTTGAGGGACCATCTTCTGAGTGCCGCGCTTCTTTGCAAGACCTGCTGTTCTCCCACTTCAGAAAGAGGTGTGCAAGCTCTTAGAAGGAGTCAACTCTGGCAAGGGACCTCCTACTAGTATTCATTGGGTTAAAAGGGGCGCGAGGTGAGTTACGAGGATGAAGTTCGGCAAAACGTTGGCATGCTCCATCTACAGCCTCTTACAAAAGAAGAGGAAGGAGAAGCATCCAAGATGTATGAAATGCCACTCATTATCATCATAAGAAGGAGTATGAAGACACATTTGGAAATTCAGTTTGAACATACGTAGCTTTGAGCAACCAAGCTGCTATTTTTTGCACGTGTTAGCTAGCGCAACTCCGGAGTCACCATATTGTCCACGGTTCGAAATTGAGAAAGCTTTGCTGCGTTACGCCCTGATAGCAGGTTCCTAAGAATCGGTTTTTGTGGAGAAGACAGACAATCTCCAAGATTTCACTTCCTTGTGATTTGAAGAGTTGACTCAAAGATTGGATCCCGAAAAAGCCTTGGGAATCTGCTCTTGAGCATTGCCAGAAGGTCATTGGTCAGCATCCCCTTCGTAAGAAGTTTCTGTGAAATAAGGCAGTGGCGGATACAGCCTGTTTCTTTTGCCACGTCATATCCACGTCAGATTGATTTACGAGGTTGTGGGAACCTTGAATGTTTCTCCTTCGTCCTTGTCCTGACGGACGACCTTTCTTCAGACATCATTGCACAACTGGGCAGTTTGACCAGCTGCTGCTAGCGCTATCCATGCAGAAACACTTCGCTTCTGCTTCGCGGTCTGTGTCAAGTCCGTCGAACTCGGCCCCCCTCGAGGACAATTCCAACCACCATGGCGAACTTCTGGCCAGGTCCTGCTGCCCATTTCTCGCCCCAGGGTCCCGTTAGACCTCCAAATTCTCAAAACCCTCAACCCCTAGTTCAGCAGCCGCCGCAACGTTTCGTGACGTTTCAAGGTCAGGCCCAATCTTCGCTCGGACAGGAACGACTTTTCGGACAGGCGCAGGGCTTTGGTCAGCCGCAGGGTTTCGGACTGCCCCACGAAACGGGACACGTGGCAGCTTCCGGACATGTGGGCGGTTTTGCGCAACCTCTTGCGTTCGGACAGGGTCTGGGTATTGGACAGGCGGCATACGGGCAGGTCCAACAAGGCTGCCTCCCGGGGCACTTAACCGGTCACGCCATGCAGGCTCAGCAGACGGGGAAGAACTTCCCTGAGAATCAGTGCGGGGGTCAATTGCTTGTGGTTAACCCCCTCGCGGTCGCTCAACCGGCCACCCCTAACCACTTTGTTTCGGTCCAGACCGGGACGGTGTTTCCTAACCCTGGCACAAACACCCCGGTTCAAAACGCACCTATGCTCGGTAACCCGGGTCAGTTGCTCCAGCTTCAACCGGGGGTGGTGCTCCCCAATCCGGGTCAAGGTCTCCCGGTCCAAGGGATAAACGTCTTTCCAAACGTGTATCAAGCTTTTGCGGGCCAGGCTCAAACCCCGTTCTCTTTCCCGGTGGCGGGCCCCCGACCTGTGACGCCTCCCAATTCTCATCTAGTAGCAGCCTTGGGCAAACCCAGTCCGATTCTCCCCAGTTCGAGTAGCTTCCCCCAGAGGCCAGTCCAGCCGAATAGTCCTTTCCAGAGAGCTGTCGGGGGGAGCTTCCCGGGGCACGCAACGCCGCAAGAGCAACCCCCCAGCACACTGACAGTCAGACGGCCGTGGCAACAGCGGTGGCGCGGGATGGGCAAGCAGTGCGAGGAGCCGGGGTGCAACTTCTTTGGGGGACGTAAGACTTTCGATTTCAATCTGGAGGTCTACAATAGAGTCAGAAAGCTAAAGTTGTTTCTTCGAGTCGAGGTGAAAGAGCGGATAACGCAAGGGAACTGCTAGGCGTGAATGCGCCGCATTTGTAATGCAGAGGCTTGTGTGAAAGCTTGATTCCACCTGTTCTCAGCACGGGCACTCGGTTGAACAACGAAATACCCAGAAATTTCGCATGAGTTTGAGCGCTGCTCCAAGTGCATTGATCGTTGTCTCGGTAGCTTAGCTTGGGGAGGTTGTCATTTCTTCGGATTGATTGGCTTTGATTCTAGATGTGGAGGTCCTTTTGTGACGCCATGCACAAAAGAGAGAATTGGTCAATAGCCCTTAAGCATGTTTTTGATGCTCTGACATCGTATGGGGTCAAACGAGCGCCTGCCTAATTAAACAGTACCAGCAACTCTCGACTTCGATTGCCTGAGAAGGATTGGTCCACTTGGGTGTATTCGAGAATGCGCTTCAAGGCTCTTCTGGACTATTGAAAGTTCTTTTAGTTCAGCTTCAAAACGCCGACTTCCTCGATTGCTAGAGTTCGCCATCCAACAATCTTGCAATCAAATAGCCCACTTGTCTTCGATGGCGCTTCGTCAGATTTTAAGCCCGCTCTCTTTCTCTATCTGCAGGCAAGGCGATGGCCAAGCACCGCTTTCATAACCACGACGAGGTACCGACCCCGCCCAAAGCGCCGGTGAGCAAGGAAGCAGGGGAGAAGGCGCTCAGGTGGCGGGAGGACCGCAAAAAGTGCTTCCCAACAGGGGCCAATATCCAGAAAAAGGTGAGCGCAGCCTCTGTATCGCACATGAGTCGGTTCCTTGCAGATTGTACGCGCGCATGAGCCGAACAGGCCAACTTTGAGACCGCTGAAGTCGTTTACGAAAGGGTTAGCAGACGAGGCGCCTTGCAATCAAAAGCTTGGGCGGAAGGGTTGATCAACTTCGGAGAACTTGGCAGCAGAACCTAAAACTTCGTTGCCACATGCTACAGTTTTAGGTTCTGCAGAGAGCTTTTCAGGGGATTCGGAATTCATCATCTCGATCTTAAGACGCCGTCTCGCTACATTACTGTTACATTACATTACTACTTTAACTGTTCTTCGAAGTCGGGATACGAAACCCTGCAGACCTCGTGTCCTTTCTGTTTTCGTCGTCGCATGCTTGAGCTGCCTCTCGATCGACCAAGCTAGCTAAGCGTCCCCTTAAAACCTTCTTCAGTATAAATATCCGATTCAGAGGAACATCCAGACTTTACGAGGAGACACCTTTTTGACACAACCGAAACTGCAAATAAAAGCGGGCCAGCCTCCATGAATGAGGAGCCGCAACGCCCACTTTTTCAGAGAAGGAAGACGACAAACCGGAAAGACTCCAATACTGTGTAGAAGACGGTCAAGCACTGGGCATCTTCTGCTTTCTGCAGTTGGCGGAGGGCGCCGCGCGCTTGGCCCGCGGCGAGCTCGACCTGGAAGTCGACAGCCGCAAAAGACGGCGGCACCTGCGGCAGCTGGTCAGCCGGGGGCAGCAACTGGGCGTTCCGGTGCCCGCAGGGCTGGAGCGTTTCCTCGAGGACGATGCGACCGGGGGAAAGCCCCGAGGCGCGAAAGAAGACCGGGCGGCTGGCGGTGCGGCCTTGGACTGGGAGACGTTCTTCGGTCGAGTGCTGAAAGCGGAGGAAGGGGCGGAGAACGGTGGGGCGGAGGAGGGGGAGCTAGGAGAAGAGAGGGAAATGCTGGAGGGGCAGAAAAAGGGGAAAAAGGGCAAGTCGAGCAGGAACAGGAAGACGCGAGAAGCTGCTGACGAGGACGGGAAGCGCGTGCCAAAGCGGGAAGCAGGCCCGTAGAGATTTTTTAGGAGCGGCCCGGGGGGAAGCGTTCATGGGAAGCGGGGTTAAGGAGGAGCCTGGGGGCCTCGCGGCGATGGGGCCGAGATTCGGGATAATTGAGCGTCAAAGCGGGTGCAGTTACGCGCCTGACAGGGCAGCGGCAGAACTTGCATCATGATGAGTAGACCTTTCTTTGGACGAGCCTGTAAAATTCGTTTGTAGCGGACATGGAAAACACTTGAGAAAATCGTTTGGGCAATGGCAGGGAGCGTTAGCTAGTCTCGCCTGCGCAGAAATATAGAAACACAGTTCGATCTGACGAGTCGGCATGCATGCATGAGCTAGTTTACGAAGTGCTATCTTGTAGCGCAGGGTATAATTGTAACACAGGACATGGATCTGGGCAAATCCTTCGCTTACAAAAGTTCATCATTACAGGCTGCCGAGGCTCCGCGTACGCACGCTCGACGATTTGTACAAGACCATGTGCATGCAAGAGGTCGATGATTGGCAGTTGTATTTCACTTACAAGTCTGTTCTGGACATGTGCAGCAAATCGATGCTAATAGACATGCGTAGCATCATTACGCAATTCTGATAAGTCATCTAGAACGGGCCCGCTTGTGCACAAAATTAAGTGCAAGTACATGAAAAACGCGGCTCAGCGCCGACCGGCATGTCGTGTGGACGGCCGAATGCTCGCTGGCTGCGACAGTGCGACCATGGATTGAAAAACATTGCACGGAAGGAATTGCAAATATAGACGTTTGACTTGCGCACATGCCAACGCTTCTTGATAAGCAGCTTAACTAAAATAGTGTACATTTCGCTCTGTTACCTCTTCATTTTCGCAGCTTACTATCGGACCCGACTGTCTTAGACCATATTGACGGCTTCCGTGTAAGTTTACTACAGTATTGCAAGCCCAGACAATCGACAACTTCTAGATATAGACCTATCTTTCGACTATAATAAATCAGCTCCTAATAACCCTGTTTAACGTGCTAGATAGTTACCATGTTGCATTCAATAGCACAGGAAATGTTCAGTGAACGCAAGTGCCGTGCTACACTTGCACTCGGCCCCTTCGAATAATCACTTTATGTATACCATATGACCACGGGCTCTTCAAACACCTCCGGTCGTCAATGCGCGAACAACATCCTTTCAACCCCTTCTCGAGCCACCCTCCGGCGCGCATCCCCGAGCTCCCGGGCTCATTCTCCTGGCTCTCCAGAGGCGCAACCCCAGCTTTCCGAGCCTTCCATCCAACCAATAAACCGCAGAACCCCGGGCTCTTCAAAACCGACTCCCCCGGGCGCCTTACACCTTGTGCTCGGGCATCCCGGTGTCCTGGTAGGGCTTGGCCGGGGGGCTCCCGGTTGGCGACAACTCGGCCTCGGGCTCCGGCACGGGCATGCCCGCCAGCTTGCGGCCGTGGTAGTAGAGGTAGTCGGGAATGTGCAGCAGGATGTAGCAGCAGATGCCCGCGATGACGCCATACGCGATGGAGTACGTCAGGGGCATGATGATGATGGTCAGGAACGCGGGGATGCCGTCGCGCGGGTCGTTCCAGTTGATCTCCGCGATGGCCTTCATCATCATGGCGCCAACCTGGGAAGCGAGAAGGGGAGGCGAGCGGGTCAGGTTCAACCGTGAGAATTCGGGTTTCTTAAACGAGGAGCTCGGGAATTGCAAAACTCTCCAGCCTAACGAGGCTCTCATGCTGGCAGGGAATTGAGAAATCCTAGCTCTTTGTCTCTTTTCAGTTTTAGCTTTTAGAAAAAGTTCATATCTGAGCGAAACCATCAAACGCAGCCCCGTTCGAGCCTCCTAGAGCAAATACGTCAGATCTGAGTTGCCAGGCCCTTACCAAGAAACGGAGGGACAAATCTTGTTTCCGTAGTAGCAAGCTAGACCCGTCACGACTACGGACGTCACCATAGACTGTAGTGCTAGCCAGCATCACAACTTGCTCACTCGCACCGTCCCTTGCTGTCCACACTAACCAAGCCACCTTCGGACCCCCTCAACACAAATTCGAATACGGAGGAAAAGAAAAGAAGAAGAAGAAGGCGGCGCTCACCAGGATGAGGGGCGGCCCGTTGGCCCAGGGCGGGATGGAGGCGAAGATGGGCGCGAAGAAGAGGGACACGAAGAAGAGCGACGCCACAGTCAGCGCCGTGAGGCCGGTGCGGCCGCCCTCGCGGATACCCGTGGCAGACTCCACGAAGACGGTCACGGGAGAGGTGCCCAGAGCGGACCCGACCACGATCGCGGTGGCGTCCGACATGAAGGCGGGGTACTGCCCCGGGAAGTTGCCCTCCTCGTCAACTGGAGGAGATAGAGGAGAAAGGTTACGTTCAGCAGTAAGGTTCGAGTTCTTTCCGTATTCGTGTAGACTTGCAGCATCGTCTAGGATGGAGGGATAAGGCTTTGGGGCAGTCGTGGCAAGAAAGACGGCAGTTACTTATTGACTGCAGCAATAAAGCGCCAAGAATCCTCCGATTAAGCAAGGAATGCTTCTCACGGCAACGTTGATGAGATGTGCGATCTCTAAAGAAGCGGAAGCTGTACTGTAAGGGGTACCCGTTTTTACAGAAGAGCGCTCCGGTTGAGACAGAAAAAGTATATGCTTTCTTCCCGCAGATTTGACCAAGCCGCAAGTTCGAGCAACTTGAAGAGCTCGGACAGCCTGAGCCTTGGCGAAACAGCTCAAGGCGAATCCAAGAAGAAAAAAGCCTGCGAAACCCCCGTGACCGTTCAAGGAGAGGACGATGATGTGCGCCTTGTCCAAGCACGAACTTTTTGGACTCTTAACACTCCCCGTTCTTGACACTCACCGAAGCCGATGAACTTGGCCATGGAGTAGAGCGTGCCGGTGGTGTCCATCATGTCGACGTACAGGAAAGTGATGAGCGTCACCCAGAAGTTGCCCTTGTTGATGGCCGTGAAATCGAACGCGCCTGCCGTCTTCTTGATCACGTGGAAGTCGACTACCTGGAAAACAAAGAGGGCGGCCAGGTATAGGGTCAAGAACATGATATTAGACGGAAGAAAAGAAGAAAGACAAAACACCAAAGGAAGAAGGATGACCAGAATACCAAGAAAAAGCGGAGGACCAGAACACCACAAATCGGAATCTGGAGATTCAAACTGGATATATCCAACACAAGGAAAACCCAAATGACCAGAACACCACAAGATGGAAACTGGAGACATCGAACATAGGAAAACCCGCGAAGGTCCTGGTTTGAGATGCCCCTATGCTTGACTGCGAAAAGTCGCTTGACAGTTCCGTGAAATCAAGTAAAACCTAGACAGTAACCCTCGGAATCGCTTCCTCATACCAAGCAGCGCACTCGAGAGGAGTTGTCTGTTGCCAAACATGCAAATAATGAAGGACACCATAAAACCGGACCTCCAGCTCAAACGAAGAGAGAAGCTGACATCAAGTGAGGCGCACCTGCTTGAAGTACTCGAAGCGCGCGTCGCCGGCGTCGGTGTGGGGGAAGTAGGTGACCTTGGAGCTGCCGCGGAACCAGGAGATGATGGTGACGTATGCAATGCCGTAAATCATGGCGCCGCGCACGTTCTTGACCAGGCAGAACGCAATTACCAGGAAACCGGTGATCCTGCACGGAAACAACCTAATCATGAGGTACTGAAGGGAAGGACGCCACGACGGTCTTAAACGGTCCTGGGCCAGCAGGCAGCCTGCAGAAACCCGTAAAGGCTAAGCCTCTAGTCTAAACGCAGGCGCTTGTCCAGTATCGTTGAGTGAAGTCGTGCCCCTTATGTGACAAAGGGCCAGGATAGTCACAGCCCTCCGAGGAACCGTCCATATGCTCTTGATGGTACAAGTGAAGTGTGGTGGGCTGTCACGGTTCAATTAAGATTCCTGCTTACTCAAGAGCTCTGAAAAAGGCAACCTATTGTAGAAAATCTGCACCAAGCCTGACGCTCAGTGAAGCCTCTTTTTCGGAGTGCCGATTGACAAGAGAACCCACAAAAAAGTAAGCGCCAAAACTTGGCCCAGGCTCTGGATTCCAAGCTGAAGTGTAAATTTCGTCTATCACATCCGACCGTTTTCACTGTCGAAGTTCGAAACCCTCCACACCCAGACTCGGCCCAATAATTGCACAGCTAGAAACTCACCGAATTAGGTAAGCCTGAAAGGACAGGAGCCTCAATCTGGTGAAAAGCTGGAATCCTGACAATTCTGAAGCCTCAACGACCACAGCGACCGAAATTTCTGAAACCCCGGGAAACATCGAACCTCTAGACGCACGGGGAAAACAACACCCCGGGAACATCGAACCTCTAGACGCACGGGGAAAACAACACCCCGGGAACATCGAACCTCTAGACGCATGGGGAAAACAACACCCTGGAGACTCAAACACGCTGCAAAAGTTCCTGATAACCTCTCCCCCAAGCTCACCCGAGCCAGGTGGTGGCAGACTGCAGGCGGCCGCTCTTGCACTGGTAGTTGCCGGACGCGTTCGCACCAGGGGCCACAGTGAGTGTGCCATTGACTTGCATCACGGGGGCGAAGCTGGTCTGCTTCCAGGGGGGGCACCCGCCGAGCGTCACCAGAGTGGCGCTGTCGGATACCACCAGGCCGATGCCCTGGCCCTGCTGCAACCCAATGAACGCCAGGAACATGCCGATGCCTGCAAGTTTCGCAGAGCTTCAGTTGAGGAGAAAGAGATGGTAGAGAGGGTGAATCAGAGACATTTGAGCGAGGTGTCTAGCCGGCAGCAGAGACTAAAAGTCGAGGCAGGGCGATGCAAGCAACGGGGACTTCTCTGCAACAGTGACGCGTATCACTGCGTTCATCCTTAACTATGATTTTGTTGGTGAACAAGATTGCAGAACGCTTAGGGGAAGAGCCATCAACCTCCAGTGCTATTAGTATTTCCTGCAGACCTGGAGGACAGCGGCAGGAAACAGCAATTCACTATGCAAAAGACAAGTTGCTGACCAACATAGAACCCACTATGCCAACTCCTTCCCCACATGCGGTCCTAACCAGCCGACACTCCTTTCCAAGTGTTGGACTCAGAAGGAGCAACCTGGTGTCAGCCCTGACCTGCTGCAGTGGAAATTCTGACGGGAAGGGGGATCATTTTGGCGATGCGCGTGCGCATGCCGGTGGCGGCGATCAGCAGGAAGCACCAACCCTCCAGGAAGACGGCAGCCAGCGCCTGCTGGTAAGAGATGTGGCCAGTACCGTGGAAACCGACAGCGGTGTACCTGGGGAGGAGCGGGGGTGGAAAAGCTAAGACAGGAACCAGGCCCAGGAAAAAGAAGACTCGAATATGAAGTAAGCGAATCGACAAGATGACTGCAAACCTTTTCCAAAATGTTTCCTGACCAGCCCTTGAATGAGATGCAGGCAACTGAAGGGACAGTTCTTTTGTGGTTTTCCTTTCCACACTTCAGAATCGCCTTGACCTAGTTTTACCTCCGAACAATCGGCCAAAACCTAACTTAACTTCGCGACCCCCATCACACAAAGAACGGTCAGATCTCAACCTCAAAGGCTCAGCAATGAAGGAATGGTCGCTGCTAAAGCAAGTCGAGTCGGCACAAAACCCTAACTCAGATTAGACCCAGAGACAAAAGGAGTTCTCACGTGAAGTAGGCGTTTGTGCCCATCCCTGGGGCAAGAGCAAGGGGCAGGTTGGCTCCCAATCCCATGATGAAGCAGCCAATCAGGGACGAGGCAGCGGTGGCAACAATCAGATCCTTCTTGGTCTCGCGCAGGCATTCCGCATAGCCCTCATTCTCTGCAAGGGGGAACCAAGCCAAGGGGCGATCAGCTCATAGCAGAGTTCCACCCCAGATGATGTCATCATATGATTTCCATGCCAACGATGATGTCAGCAATTCAAAGATAGCCAAAAACAATGCATACAGCAGAAGCATAAGATCCTATGTTGTTCCAAATAGATCGGACAAGAGGGGGTGGGACGTCAACCCTCTGCAAATGGCTTGTCGCCAGAGTGCTAGTCAGGCTGGACTGCACAGCTGAACAGTTTCTGCTTACTTGAAGCCGACACACAACTAAGCCCAGTGATCTCATCACAAGAGGCAAGGGTCATTTGACTTGATCGCCCCAAAGATCCTGCCCCTTCCAACACTTATTCACCCCAACTCCGTTATCTGCGCCTTACCGGGGGGGAAGATGCAGCCTGGCCCTGCTCCGACAATGGCCTCCCTGGGAACAGTGTCGGTGCCGTTGAAGTAGGTCCCCACGCACTGGGCAAGGTCTGTGACAGTCGCATCCGAGCAGGCGTCCGGCGTGCAGTCCGAAGCTGGGGACAGAACAACGAGGGGCATGAATTCAGTGCAGGAACAGGTTACCGACGGGCAGGAAACACAAACAAGCTTAGGAAGTTGAAGGTGCGATGCAGGGAAAAAGGGGCGTTTGTAGACTGGAACCTCTGGCAATTGGGCCCAGAAGGGCAAAGAAGGGCAGGATTAGTAGATTTGGACATAGTGTGTTCAGTTCAACAGAACTGGTGCAGAGCCCTCCATGTCAATCTTGTTCAAGGATTTGAAGTATTTCAACCCCCACAACAGAAGATGGTCCGCATGAAAATCCAACTTCCCATGTGTTAGAAGCTTAACACGTACGCATCAAGTAGGATCAAGTTTCTTTCTTAAACCTCCAAAAGAACTGAAATGAGCGGGGTCCTCGCTTACCCCGACATGTACCCCCTGAATCTGTAAGGATGGCAGAATTCACGGCGAGGATATAGGCAAGGGTCAGAAACGTGGCCAGGCCCGCACGCATCTCCGAGGTGAAGGTGGAGCCCCTCTCCTTCAGCTTGAAGTACCGGCCAACCTAGAAACATAAGAGTTTGGTCACACAGGTGTCCAAAGTGTAGTGACCTCCCTCAATCTAGAGGGGATTGTGCATCTTTCTGCAGAAATCCATTTTGTACGGAACCACCATCAGATATGGTTTTCTGATTCGTGGGGGTATAACTGCTGCAAGTAAGAGTACTTCTGACTGGACAACAAGACAGAGCCCTCCCAGTTCTAGTAACTCCTCAGATTGTCCTAACTTGGACAACAAAGAAATGTTCCACGTCAACACTTCCAAGACCCTTGCAAAGTGTCCAGAAATACAGGGGGGGGAAAATCTCAGACAGTTGTATAAGGATGGCCCTTGAAAGACAAGCGGCATTTTGGTGAGCCTGTTGCAGTTACGTGGCGATGCAAACTTCAAAATCTTTTCCGGAGGACTGCATGCAAATGGTGAAACCCACAAATTCAACCAACTGGTACTCTGACAGCATCAAAAAAACTGCAGCTAAGAGAGAACATCTCAATAAAGGAAAGAGAGGAAGAAGAACAGGGAGAGCCGGCGCACCACCGAGTTGGCCACTGTCTCGTTGAAGTTGTGCACCATGCCGGTGCCCTCCTCGCCAGCCTTCATTGTGAACCAGTTGAAAAGCAAAGGCTTCTTTGTCAATCTCCGCTCGACTCCAGCACTAGCGCCAATAAATTCAAAGCTTTTTCAGCTTTGAGACAGCGTGACAGTCCTGCCCTCTAGCAACACGGCAAGGACAACAAGGAGTAAGGCGCCAGCACCGCAAAACTTCACCCTCTCAGCTCAGAAAACTGGCACGATCGAAGGAGCCGAGGATCAACCTAGACGATATGACCAGATTTCAAAAGAGCAGCTGAATGAAGGACGCCTGTAAACTTGTACCTAAGTTGACAGGGAGAGCTGCTGAAACCTGACGGCTCAACTTCTCTCCAGGATCTGCTGCACCACTGATGCATAGCACTGGCAGTGGCTGAGAACTTAACTAGAACTGCGCTTCGCGCCAGGTATCCTGCCGCTGAAGACTCCAACTTCAAGTCTACACTGACTACAGTGGAGTGGAGTCCGGCCAGCATGGCGGCCGCCTCTGCCTGGCGGCCGATCTCCTCGCCGCTTCTCATCTGTTTTCTGACATAGAAGGTCCTTGCAAAGCGCCCACATTAGAAACGAGGCCTTGCTTTGGAGGGCGGTCGGCTTCGAACGGGCAGGTTTCTGATAAACGCGCCTTCCACAGAAAATCTCTTCTCTGACGTCCGCCGACGTCTGGCAAATCTCTTGAACAAACCGTACCTGATCGCGATTGGGGTCTTGGGCCGCCGGCATCCTGTATAGGTGGCGCCCGGTCATAGTAATAAAGGCTATCGGTTAGGGAAACCGGACTACATTGTCCTCCCGGCCATATCGCCCAATCCTTTTTCACCGTTTTCACTTGAAGGCAGTGTGCTCGAACTCCCGGGCACCTGACGGCGACGGAGCCTCCGATAATTATTACAATAATCCAGTGCAGACGGTAGACCGTACTGAACAGCCTGTAGCAAGGTACGTACCTTAGACGGGAAATAAGTACCCAGATACCGGTACCGCCATATGGAAGAACAACCCCGTTCGTTCGGTACGTACCTATGTCACTAGGTAGTACGTAACAACTTGGCGTTTGCTCTTGCACATGAGACATGCGTAACCATGACCGTGACGGTACGCGTTAGACACAGTGGGTACCACGGTTCACGTGACCGATTTGGTACCCAAGTTGCACGTAAATCACGTGGTCCTCGTGGACTTCCATAATGGATTTGCAGTGTGCACACTGCACATGTACTGCAGATCATATACAGTATATACAGGCGGGTTATGGGTCCCTGAGGGCCGCCCCCGGTAATACCAGTGCAGGGTACCCGGTAATACCGTAGCCTGTAGACGTCTAGGTATCTAACGGTCGGTGCAAAACAACGTGCCAAGTAGAAAGAAAATGCAATAATAGCATTTTAATAGTAAAATATTATCAGTACTTGAATGCCAGCACGCAAGCCGACAAGCCAGCCGGCAGCCGGGCAGGGTGCCGGGCGCAAGGGGCACATAGCTGCCGAATCTTTTGTCAACTTTCGAAATCGGACACCGGACGGGCACAGGCAGTCGTTGTCCGCAGTGCCATATTTTGGGACCCGGCTGGTACCGGGCCTGCTTTTGCCGGACTAAATAATGCCCGGGTTAGCCTGCAAACCACATTAAAATCCTAAGAACAGTGACTTAGCCGTTAGTAAGAACCCTAATCTGAGAGCGGTCACAGGAAAGGGAGTAACCCTAACAAACCGTCACAGGAAGTGACGTAACCCTAACACACTATCACTGCTTTGTAGCGCGAGAGTCGAGACCCTAAGGTCACTAAAAGTGCCCGGTTGCTTGTTGACGGTGCATACCTACCGTACGCGGTCAACGGTACCGCACGGACCGTACGGTACTGAGTACGGTCTCGGACTCGGCACATGACATGTGGCAACAACTTGGAGCGTAGATCCTGCGGTCGGTCCACGATCGGACGGTGACACACATATGACTGTCCGCAGTCCGGCATCCGATTTCGAAAGTTGACAAAAGATTCGGCAGCTTTGGCCGTTTTGCGTGCCGGGCAGGGCGCCGTGTGGGTGCCTTCTGGCTTTTTTCACGGGGGCTGGTACGAGTCTATGTTATGTATGAGCTTTATGTCATGAGCGTATGAGCGGGAGCGTGTGTTCGTGAGCGTACGTGTGACTCGCGCGAGCGGGCAGTGGTCGCCGCGAAAGTGACGTCAGCAGTTCTTTGAAATTTTGAAATGTACCGCCGGGTGAATACGGATGAAGTCCATAATCTGTATTTAGGGTTTTAGGGTTCTGATCTTTAGACTGTACTCACGTCCGTGATTGCATCACTGATCGTTCTCTTCGAACTTTTTATTTACCATTGCTGAATTCAAGCATCGCATCCACCATGCGATGCTTATGACCATTTGGAAATTCTACCGTATATTTTAGCGCCTGTAGAATGTGACCGCATTATCCCGCAACCGGCGCGAAAAAAGATTATCAAGTATTTCCGGTGATTACAAGATAGCTCTACCATGTATGATTGGCTACTACTGTTACTATCACCCACACTTATGTTGCATATAAGCGCACTACCTCCACTTCACCTGCCAGGTCAGCCGCGGCGGCCGGGCGGCAGCTAATTTGTCGCCTGCGCGCGAGCTGCGCGCGAGCCGCTCAGCGCCGCACAACTGGCAGGACAACCAACTTGTGACATTCTACTGACTCTGTCTGAGTCCATTCATCCATTTGCGTGTTCCATTGGATTTACTGACATGAGTCCTAAGGCTGACAAACAACACACATACACATACATGTGATCAATTGCTATTAGTGAGCGTTATCGAAAATTTTCATACTTCGCATTCCGAACAGCTTACAAGCAAGTGGCACATCACTATCTCATATACACCGTTCTGTTTATGTACAGAGTCTAAGTCTAAGACTACTGATGGTATTAGCATCATTTACACTACTCTTCTTCTGTTGCGTATTCTATTAATTCTCCCCCCATCGCTTTGACGTCTAGGCCCTGTGACAAAATCGATCTAAGCTCCTTCTCCGAAAACGTAGCCTGGTGGATCAACGGCACCCCTGTTTCGTCTTCGTCAGTGAAGTCGAACAGCCTGAGTCCCACCCGCAGCACCGCGTACACGTGTCTGCAGTGGACCCAGCTCCCTGACGTCTTCTCCTTCATCTCCACGTACTCCGGACAAATCTCGTCACACCTCGGGGCAGAGTCTATCGTAACCCTGTACCTCCCTCCCTTTCTCGTCGAAAACAGCGTTGAGGCTTCCTCGACCAGAACTTCAATTGACTCCCTGTGCACGTACTTCTCCACGTGCACTGTAGTTTCCATCTCCAGCGCCTGCTCCAGCCGCGTTTCCATATCTCTGATCACCCTTCCCACTTTCTTCACCTTCCTTCCCTCCGGACGCTTGCTTGGCCGTTTGTGTGACGGTTGGACAGGGTC